CCCAAGAGAAGCCTAAAAGGGTAAAAAGTGGAAAAAAAATAAGGAATTTAATGGAGCTAAATTGTTTACATCCCTGCATGGAAAGATGATATTTGTAATTCTTGAAAAACACAACAACAACAACAACACTAATAGGATAACTAGGATGAATACACATAGAGAGTACAGGTATAAGGTGAATTTGAGGGAATGACATAAAAAATAAGGGAGAGAAAGAGAAGTGCACTGAGTGAAGAAGGAAGGGAGAGGTAGAAGGGGTAAATTATTTCACATAAAGAGGCATGAAAAGCCTATTACAGTGGAGGGAAAGATGGAAGGGTGGGCTGTGGGCATCACTTGAATCTTAATGTCATCAGTATTGGTTCAAAGAGGGAATAATATGCACAATCAGTTGAATGTAGAAATCTATCTTATCTGACAGGGAAGTAGGAGAAAAGAAGATTAAGTGAAAGGGGAAGTGGCAGGAATGACAGAAGAGATGGCAGACTGGGGAAGGTGGTAGAGAAGCAAAACACTGTTGAGGAAGGAAAGGGTGAAAGGAGAGAGAAGACAAACAGGAGGGAAAATAGGAAGGAGGGAAATACAGTTAGTAATCATAACTATGAATGTGAATGGGATGAACTCTCCCATGAAACAGAAGTGGATAGCAGAGTGGATCAAAAACCAGAGGCCTACAACATGTTGTTTACGAGAAACATACTTGAAACAGAGAGACACACACAAAGAAAAAGTAAGGGGCTGGAGCAGAATCTATTATGCTTCAGCTGCAGTAAAAAAAAAAAAAAAAAGCAGGGGTAGCAATCCTGATCTCAGACAAAACAAAAGCAAAAACAGACCTACTTAAAAGAGATAAGGAAGGAAACTACATCTTGCTAAAAGATATCATAGACAATGAAGTAATGTCAACAGTAAGCATATATGCACCAAGTGGTATGACATCCAAATTCTTAAAGAAGTTAATTGAGTTATAGGAAAAAATAGACAGTAAAACTATACTAGTGGGGGACCTCAACTCTCCCCTCTCAGAATTTGATAAATCCAACCAAAAATAAACAAGAAAGAGACTAAGGAGGTGAATAGAATATTAGGAAAGTTAGATATGACAGATCTTTGAAGAAAACTGAATGGGAACAGAAAAGAATATACCTTTTTTCCGCAACATATGGCACCTACACACAAAAGAATAACCATGTATTAGGACATAAAAATCTCAAAATCAAATGTAAAAACGCTATTTGGATCATCTTGCAATAAAAATTACATTCAACAAAAGGCAGTGAAAAGACAGATTAAGGGGCAGCTAGGTGGGGCAGTGGATAGAGCACTGGCCCTGGAGTCAAGAGGACCTGAGTTCAAATCCATACTCAGACACATAACACTTACTAGCTATGTGACGCTGGGCAAGTCACTTAACACCATTGCCTAACCAAAAAAAAAAGAGAGATTAAAAATTAATTAGAAACTAAATGATCTAATCCTAAAGAATAAGTGGGTCAAAAAACAAATCATAGAAACAATAATTTCATCAAAGAGAATGACAATAATGAGAGAAAATTTGTGGGATGCAGCCAAAGCAGTACTTAGAGCAAAATTTATTTCTCTAAATTCTTACATCAACAAAATAGAGGAAAAGCAGATCTATGAATTGGTCATGTAACTAAAAAAGTTAGAAAAAGAACAAATTACAAATGCCCAATTGAGCACCAAATTGGAAATCAAAGGTGAGATTAATAAAATTGAAAGTGAAAAAAGAAGTTGAGCTAATAAATAAACCTAGGAGCTGGATTTATGAAAAAAAAAACAATAAGATAGATATGTCATTGGTTAATCTGATTTTAAAAAAGAAAGAAGAAAACCAAATATCATTATCAAAAATGAAAAGGATGAAATCATCAATGAAGAAGAAATTAAAGCAATCATTATGAAATATTTTGCCCACTTATATGCCAATAAATCTGACAATCTGAGCAAGATCAATGAATATTTATGAAAATATAAATTACCTAGATAAATAGATCAGGAAATAACATGCCTAAATAACCCCATCTTAGAAAAAGAAATTTAACAAGCCATTAATGAACTCCCTAAAAGAAAATCCCCATGGCCAGATGGGTTCACAAGTTAACTCTACCAAACATTTAAAGAACAATTAATTCCAATACTATATAAACTATTTGGAAAAATAAGCAAAGAAGTCCTACCAAACTCCTTTTATGACACAAATATGGTGCTGATACCTAAACCAGGAAGAACTAAAGCAAATAAAGAAAATTAGAGACTACTTTCCCATAATGAAAATCGATGCAAAAATTTTGAACAAAATACAAGACAACCAAACTATGTATATCCTTTGATCCAGCAATACAACTTCTAGGTCTGCATCCCAAAGAGATCATTAAAAAGAGAAAAGGCCCTACATGTGCAAAAATATTTGTAGCAACCTTTTTTTGTGGTGGCAAAATATTGGAAATTGAGGGAATGCCCATTAATTGGGGAATGGCCTGAACAAGCTGTGGCATATGAATGTAATGGAATACTATTGTGCAATAAGAAATGATGAACAGGCAGATTTCAGAAAACCCTGGAAAGACTTGTACAAAGTGATGCAAAGTGTAATGAGTAGAACCAGGTAAGCATTGTGCACACTATCAGCTGCATTGTGCACAGTATCAGCTGCATTGTGTGATGATCAACTATGAATGACTCAGCTCTTCTCAGCAACACAATAATTTAATACAAGTACAAAGAACTCACGAAGAAAAATGCTGTCTACATCCAGATAAAAAAGTGATAGACTCTGAATGCAGAGCAAACCATACTCTTTTTCACCTACTTTATTCTTTTTCATGTTTTTTTTCCCTTTTCATCTGTTTCTTCTTTCATAACTGTGACTAATATGGAAATAGGTTTTACATGATAACACATGTATAACCTATATCAAATTGCTTACCATTTTCAGAAGAGGGGAGGGGAGGGAGGGAGGAAGAAAAATTTGGAGCTCAAAATCTTGTAAAAATGAATGCTAAAAATTGTCTTGACATGTAATTAAGGAAAAATTAAATCTATTACATAACAAAAAAAATCTGAACCAGAGAATATCATAGTGGAAGAATAATTTTCTTAATCAGTATTATCTCTGAAAAATTGATTCTGTAGGTTTACAACTGGTTCAAGAAAATATTTTTGAATTCTTGGGTTACTGTCAAAATAAACATTTTTAACAAAAAAAATAGAATGTGTAGAATTGAGGTGGAGAGAACAGCAATAGTGAAAGCATGAGGCACCTTCAGAGGACAATAATGGGATAAAATGTATGTTAGGGTCTACTTCAATATTTATCAAACACCTCTGATATGTATGGTACTGTGCTAGGCATTTTGTAATGGGAAATAAAATTAGGAAGACAGGTTTGAATGATATGCTGAGGGACCCTGAATACCAAGAGAAGAATTAAGAACTTTTATCTGATAAGAAAGGGAAGCCATTTAAGTGTCTTTGTTGTTTTGTTTTGATTTGTTTGTGGCTGAACAGTGACATAATCAGAGCTGTACTTTTAGGATTGTTAATTTATCAGCAGTGTGTAAGATGAATGGGAAAAAGGAGAAATAAAAAGTGGGGAAATCAGTTTTATTGACCATACAAGAGTTAATGGGGGCCTAAACCAGTGTGATGGCAGTGAAGGCAGGAAAGACAGTATGGATATAAGAGATGTTGCAGAGACAGAATCAACAGATTTTTTTCCTGGTAGAATATAAACTCCTTGAGGTAAGGTACTTTTTAAATTGTATGTCTAGAAGCCTATCACAGTGCCTGGCAACCAACCAATCAATACACATTTATTGGTCAACTGATTAGGTTCTGGGAACTAAGGAAGGGAACATAAGCAAAGAAGACCTGATGCTCTTTAGCAAGAGTAACAGAGAGAATGACAACACCCATCGATAAAAATAGAAAGTCAGGAGAAAGATTGATTTGTTTTGTTTAGTTTGGAGGGAGGTGGAAACAATGATTTAAATTGTGAACATTTTGCATTTGATAATAAGATATCCAGGTAGGGATATCCATCTGGCAGAAATATAGAGCTGAGCCTTGGGAGAGGGGTTGGGGCTGGATATACAGATTTAGAGGCAAGGACTGATTAGAAGGCGTACCTCAAGTCTTTTTTGTGAAAGGTACCGCAGAGAGTAAAAGTTTAGAGAAGTAAGAGAAGAGAGCTTGGGACTGAACTCTAGGGGATACCTACATCAGGCAGGCATTGGTATTAAAACCCGTGAAGAGAAGGCCTAGACATAGACATAGGAACATTACAAAAAACTAGCAAACTTTTTAAACATTCATTTTTCTCCTCAAGTGTATTTGGTATAACTGATTTGTTATATTACCATGAGGACCTGGTGTAGCAGATAGAGGGCCAGCCTTGGAAGCCTGAAGATGAGGGTTCAAGTCCTGTCTCTGATGTATACTAGCTGTGTGACTCTGAGCGAGGAATTTAAACTGTCAGGGCCCTAGACAACTTTTTAAATATTGGAAGTGACCAATTGCTGATTTATATTGATGGAAAGTTTCCAAACCAGGAATTCCTTTTCACAGATGAAATCAGAGGTCTGAACCAAAAAAAAAAGTTAATGTATGTGTATAAATGTGTATATGTTTGAATGTATATATGTGTGAGTTCTACACATTTCCTAATAATTGTGGAAAACAGAATTGGTTCTGTGTGCTCTTTCTTTTCTCAGAAAGACACATGTATTTGGCCATGCTAATGGACTGGGAGCAGTGTTTCAGATAACCTAAAAGGAATCTTTATACTTGTCTTTGGAAGCATTATATATGTATATGTTATAGCAGATTTACCCTTCTAATTATGCTTGGCTTAGGAAAATACTAAAATTAGTTTGAATTTCCTGAGCACACACTGGCCGGCTGGTGGGGGGGAGGTGACTGAGAATGTGCTAAGCTTGAAGCCATGGTAATATCTCTTCATATCTCCGGCTTTCCAGACACCCCATCGCAGAGGGTACAGTTTATTCTTGGAACCGAAGATGATGACGAGGAACACATTCCTCATGACCTTTTCACAGAGCTTGATGAGATTTGCTGGCGTGAAGGTGAGGATGCCGAATGGCGAGAGACAGCCAGGTGAGGATTTGGGGGCATTATGTTTCTAGTCATCAGTAGTAATTCATGGTACAGTGAACATTTGTAAACCCCATTAAGGTCCGAAAAAGAGATCTCTAATGGAAAGCATACATAGCAAGCAACCCAGAGTATTACTATCTGATATTCCTCATCCAGATGTATATTATTGTGGTATATAAGTCAGAATGAAATGTGAATGTAGTAATTATAGTAAACAATAAGAGTCAGCAGTAGCTGCGTCATTGAAGACAAGTGGTCACATACATTGTCTGCCTTCAGCAAAAGATTAAAGCAAACATGAGTTTACTTTCTGAGTTTATTATATCTCTCTCTTCACCTGTCTGTTCATACTGCTGCTGAATAAGTGAGTGATCCTGAGTGAAAACTTGAGTGTAGAATCTTTGTGAAGAATGAGTCAAAATTATGAAATGTGACTTGATGACATGAAATCTTTGGAGTGGCTACCACAAAATGATCCTTGGGTAGATGGAGAAAAAATACATTTATACACACATAAATATGTATATGTAAAATATATATTCATATATATGTGTGCATATATATATACCCTTCTACATAATGTTCCCCAAACATCTTTAACTTTCAAGTATTTTTTAGACGCCAACTTTTTTTTAAATAAGGAATTTATTACTTTACAAAGTAATTTGAAAGTAATGAGTTAAATTCCAGTTTGACTTTTACATGGTTCCCACCATTACAGCACTCAGACATTTTACCTTGTGACTGAAAAGCACTATATAAAAATAAACTATTTTTAGTAGTAAAAAATATATATGTAGTGGTCATAAACATAACCATATTTATGTTATCCTTTCAGTCAATTGAGTGGGGGGAAAAAACAATATTGTTTTGCATGCTGTAGCCAAAGCACCTGGTTGGTTTATCATATTTGGTTGTGGGGGTAAAATCTTTATTTTTTTTTTAGAAATGCCATACAGTTCCTTTAAGAATATTTTCTTTTATAATATCCCTATAAGACAAATTGAAACTTTGCTTTTATAACAAAAGTCAATGAAACCTTGAACACCAATTAATTGTAATCTAATACAGAATTCTGCCTCCCGAAATGATTGTCTGCCTCCTGTTTGGCTGAGGATTAATCCTTTAAGCACTATAGTCTATTTTTGTTTAAATTTTCATTGAGAAAGCTTTCTAAAATGCAATAGTAAACTTTTCTTGCCTAGTAAGTATAGCATATTTCATATTGTTTAATCATTCTTTTTATAATATATCTTGTATCACATTAGTTAATTATTATGAATGTAGGATCACAGAATCTTGGGGTTAGGAAAGACCTTAGAGGTCATCCAGTAAACATTCCTTATACAACATCCTATCATGTGGTCAAGTCTTCCAGTCATGATAATTTCTCTTCTTCTTAAGACGATTCATTCCAGTTGAGGCAGCTTTAATTTTTAGAAAGGTCTTTCTTATGTAGAATTGAAATCTACTTCTTTATAAATCCTAACAATTATTCCTAGTTCTTCCCTCAGGAGTATGATATCACCTAAAGTATTTTACAGATTTTAATACTCCACTCCCAACCTTATTTATAAGTTTTTTCTTTAGGTCAAAATATCTGGTTCCTTCAACCAGATGGTACAGTTTTATCCATGGTAGAACTGGAAGAGAAAAAAGGGTCAGAGTACTATGGTGACTTGCTCAATCATCCAGGGAATGAGCAGTGCAGCTGAGATTTGTACCCAGACCTTGTGAGTCCCAAACCAGGATTCTTTGCACTAATCCATATCTTCAGATCTTACTCATATTTTGGCTTTTTCATAGTTGGCATCGTTGACCTAACCATTAGCTTCCTGGTCTATGTCTGCCTTTACATTAGGAAAGAGATTGCAGACAGTTATTCTGTTAATTGACAGCTATAATAATCCAGGAATCAGAAAATTCAGTTCATAGATGGCTGCTACAGTCCAGGAGTCATGTGATGAAGTTGTGGACTTGAACAGAAGTCATAGTAATGGAAGGAAAGGGCATATTTGATGGACAAATGAACAGAAGAAACAATAAAATTCTTTAAAAAGAATTTGGTGATGAGATTCTGGACTGGGATGGTGATAAGACATTATGAATTGGAGAGGCATTTTACAGAAATAATCAAGATCAAATTAACTAATTTGGAGGAGGAGAAGGGACAAAGGTAGTGCTAAGGCTTTAAACCTATTCCTGGGAAAGTGGTGGACCAGAAATTCTACAAATGTATTTTAGGCAAAACTGACTAAGCCAAGTTATATTAGAGCAATGAGGAATTATTCATTCTACCATCTCTTATACTTTTCCATATAGAATATAGGAGAGGAGATAATTTTGGAAAAAAGATAAAGATAATACCAAATGCAAGCTATCAAATGTATCCCACTTCATTGTTGTTTGATTGAGCAAAGCAGTGAAATGTGTAGTATTGATGTTTCCTTCCATCTCTAGGAATCTGTCATTCTGTGAAAGCAGCAACTGTCAGTATCAGAGGTTAAGAGGTAGTGCAATGTAATGCATAAGGTGCTGAACTTGGAGTCAGATCTGGTTCAGATCCTACCCCTTACACTAACTAGTTAGGTAACTATGCGCAAATAAATAGAGATAATAGAATCTATTGATCTTACCTCATAAGGTTGTTGTGAAGCTCAAATGAAATAAAGTATACCAAGCATTTTGTAACCTGTAAAGGGCTTTATACATATCTATTATTAATATTATTTTAACAGTCGAGGAAATGTTTTTTCTGTTTTCATGTCTATGATATTTTAAAAGGAAAACTCAATCATTGCATCATTATAATCATCGTAATTAATAATAATAATAAATAGCTAGGTGCCAGACCTGGAGTGAGGAAGACTCCTCTTCCTAAGTTCCAATTTGGCCTTAGACACTTACTAGCTGAGAAACCCTGGCAAGTCACTTAACCCTATTTGCCTCAGTTTCCTCATCTGTAAAATGAGCTGGAGAAGGAAATGGCAAACCACCCCACTATCTTTGCCAAGAAAACCCCAAATGAGGTCACAAAGAATCAGACACTACTGAATAACAAAATAATAATAATAGCTAATATATAAAGTAAAGTTCAGCATTTTATGCTATACCACCCAACTGCCCTTGCTCAATTGTGATGGAAAAGAGCTGGATTTACAGCAGTTCACATGAACAAGAAGGAAGTGGTGGAAAGGGATAGTTAATTGACTGAAAGCTTAAAATAATATAACTCTAATAATGGCTCATATTTGTATATAACTTGAAGGTTTTGTAAAGAATTTTACATGCACTATCTCATTTGATTTTTTCAATGACCCTGAAGGAGTAGAAGCTCTCATCCCCATTTTACAGATAAGAAACTGATACCTGGGTTAAGACATTTGCTTAGTGTCTCACAGTTAGCTCTAAGGAGAGTTTCAAACCCGAGCCTTCTTAACTCCAAGCCCTGCAATGAAGCCACCAATATGCTACTTGTCAGTAAGAGTCAATTTTATTATGTGGTTTCAAAACAAATTTGAAGTTTTAGATGGGACTAAAAAAAAAAGGAAATAGTAAAGATCCAGAACCATGATGGTCTCATCATACTGTGCATTATTCAAACACATTTGAAGTATGCTGCTTTGTTCAATTTTGTGCCACATTTTAAGAGGAGCATTAGCAAAGTAGAATGCATCCATATGAGGACAACCAAGATGGCATGGGGGTCAAAAACATGTGCTTCCATGGAAAGAGGACTAGATTTGGAGTGAAAGGATCCTGCAGCATTCTACACCTATAGATTAAAATCTATAAAATCAAGAGAATGAGGCATATTTCCTCATCCCTTCTCTGGAGCCAAATCAGAACTTATAATTAAATGGCATCTCATCTTATTGTTCCTTCAGCTTATGTTGTTATAATCAGTATGTATTTTGTTTTCCCAATTCTGTTTATTTCACTTGCGGCATCATTTTGCAGGACCAAGCTGGGCTTCTCTGCCTGTGCTTGCTCTTAAAATGTCCATCTGGGCAATGATTCTATTACCAAATCCTACTCTCTAAAAGCCAATTTTATTAGAATGCTCCTATGCTCAAAAACTTTTAAATGATTCTTCTACTTTAATGTAGAATAATATCAGCTCAGCCTTGCCTTCAAAACTATCCAGAAACTGATCATATATGACTCAATACAAATCTCCCATTCCAAACACACTGGATGTTCAATGTCTCCCAAATATTCCATGGTTGTTCTTGACTCCAAAATTTTACTGATTTCCCCTTTCTAGAATTCCCTTCTTTTCCTGTCCACCTAGTCAAGCATAACTGAACCTTCAGGATTCAGCTCCAAAGAGGCCTCCCTTGACAACCCTGGCTTACAGGGTTTTTAATCCTTTCTCTGAACTCCTAGAGCACTTATGTTGGACACATTTTGGAGCTTATTATTTCCTTGTTTTATTGTTTATTGAGGTTCCTTTTCGATTGTAATCTAAACTAAACAATATAGCAAAATGCTTCAGCAGGTTTTGCATCCTTTTTTTTCCCTAATGGGACCACTTATGAAAGGTTCCAGTTCATAAAAAACATGAAAAAAGTCTTTGTTTTTCTGATAGTTGTAGGTCCTTGCACCTGGGATATTTAGTTCTTGGGCAAGAAAGGTATTGATGACTCAGTAGGCAGGAACCTATTCTGAAAAACCTACATAGTAGGTGCTCAGGAACGCAAGGGATAAATATCACCTTACACAATGAAAATTAACACAATGTTTTTCATTTATTATCTTGCCTACTTGTTTTCTTTTATTTTGTGCATTCAAACATCAATAGCATATCAGGAAATAACCATTTTAAATCATAGTGTGATTGGTTATTTATAAGTTACACGTGCTCTGGAATATGAACATACATAGAGTTTGAATGCAAATCCAGCCTTAGACACATATCAGTTGTGTGACTGTGGGCAAGTCACTTGACCAGTTTGCCTCAGTTTCCTCACCTCTAAAATGGGGATAATAACAGCACC